TTCATCACTTAATCTTTGTTAAGGAGAAAGTCATGTTAAATAGCAGCATAACTTTGAATGGGGGGCTTTCGGGGGACTTTCATTACTTTTTATGTTTACCTTGTTTCAATCCACCTTTGTGTAGTTCTGATGAAGTTTGACCCTTGTCACTCGTTGATTTTTCATTCGCTTGGTAAATTTTAATTTCTTTGCTGTACGGCGGTTTTTATGTTTTTTTCTGAAAAGATGCGTTTGCGATATTTTTTCATGGGCATCATTTAGCTTCTTTTAAATTTCTCTAGCTGTTTTGCTGGGCAATTACAGAGTGAACCTCATTACTTTACGTCGAATGTTCTCAGATATTTTCCAATTTTGGGCAGCATTTTGCCGCATACGTGTGCGACCAACGGTGCAATATTTGAATGTGTGCACAATTTTCGGTACTCGAGGAACAGTACTTACCTAATACATAAAACTCTGGAATCTCTGAAATAAGAGTCAAACACCTATAAAAAAAATTCGGTTCCTTCAACTACGCCACTCAATTTATCTCTGATGAGTCAGAAATCACAAATGTTAACTCCAAGTGAAGTAAATATTTTAATATAATTTCGTTTTTAAGTCCCGCTAACTGCAACGGTAAATTTTTTTTAATATTTGACACGTGGTAACATGTAGTGCATAGTCTACTTTATGCTTAGGCAGTGGAAAAAATTCAAATTTTTCGCCTAGCAAACAGTCCAAGAATTTTATTCGTAAAATTTTACATATATTGTTTGTCAAAAAAGTCTTGCGTTATTTTCGCTAGTTGGCGCTGAGAGCGCGTAGTTCTAGTTTAATTCGTCGCATCGGGTCATGATATACCTTTTTAGAAAGCTCATTTCACGCGCTAACACGTGTTTGATTGATTGCCGTTCGTGAGTTATAGCGTCGCAAACATGGAGCAAAATAAAGAGAAAATACGGCATATTTTACAGTACTACTACGATAAAGGCAAATCTCAAGCCGCCAATAAAATGTGTGCAGTTTATGGACCCGATACAGTTTCCATTTCCACCGCAAAACGATGGTTTCAACGTTTTCGTTCTGGTGTAGAGGTGGTCGAAGATGGGCCACGCTTCGGAAGGCCTGTCGTCGAAAATTGTGATAAAATCGCTGAATTGGTCGAAAGAGACCGGCATAGTAGCAGCCGTAGCATCAGTCAAGAGCTGGACATGAGTCATCAAAAAAAAAAAAACAAAAAACAAATTTATGAACAATTGAAAATTCAATAAAAAATACCGCAAGACTTTTTTGACAACCTAATATTTACCCTGTTTCTAATGGGTTGCCGGGGTACTGTAGTATCTGTTTTGTTATAACTTCATACAAAGATCCTGTACATAGTTTTGAAAATTTATACCAATGAAATGGCTCATGTTTCGATGTACAGACATCGCGATACTATCCGATTACATATCAAGGCTGTTTCGGGAACAAAGTTTGTTTTAATAATTCTTGTTTTCATTTCCAGTTATTTTAGTTCCTGTGGTTACGTTTTGAAAACTCTTTGAAATCAAATTTTAATAATCTCATTTTCCGTACATGTGTTCACAGCAGACCAAAATTGTTTCAAAAAGAATGTACCAATGGAATTATAAAAATCTTCTGGAGCAGTCATTCAAAGCTGTTTTGTATAGTCAGGTTTCCAATATGTATTGAAAAGGGTGAAAATTTAATTTTGCAATGTTTCGCAGTTAAAACCACAGATCAATTTCTTCCATCGCCTATGATCCAGTTGATAAAAATTGTCTCTATGGTTTTATAGTATCCTTCACTCAAATATTTAGAATGGCACTCTACTATCTATACATTTTGAAGGAAGCTGCAATAATTCTTCTACACATAAATAAATGGTAGAAGAATTTGAAACTTCAGGCCTCATATATTTTGGACTGAGATTGACCAAAGAAAACCGACTGTTAAAAAGTACCTTCTTACGTCTTAAACCTCTTTGGTGGTGTAAACCTACATACATACATACTTACTTACAATATTAATTTTAAAGATTTTAATCAAAGAAACGTTGGTAATATGTTTTGTATTTTATTTTTATAAAGTTAACCGATTTCATATTTATCTAGAAATAACTAACAGTTAAAGCATTGATTTTATGAATTGTGCAGATCAGCAGCACGGAAAGGTTTGAAAACCTCGCGCTGCCAGATATTTCATAAATCTTCACATTTTTGGTATTTTTATTTTGATTTTTAGATTACTGAAACAAACACTTCTTCAAAGTGCTTCAATTATTGAATATCAGTCGCATTCAGATTGCATTTTTAATCGTACTTTAATATTGGTGTTCATGGCCTTAGGTAGTCGTTGTCACGTTAAAGTCCGTGTAGTTGTGGTGTGTAGTTTGTGGTGCAATTTTTCAATAGTGCTCGTGTGTGTCTTATATACATACAATCTCTTACTTATTATTTTCATTTTTTATTTGATAAAATTACATGCATATATGTACAAGCTGTGGCTCAAAGGTACAACAAAATGCAGTTAAAGAATTTTCGAGTTATTATAGTAAATGTTTTTAGTTAGTTTTAATGGCGATGACCTCTTGTATATTCTAAGAAAGCTCTGTTGAGTTGTAGTTATTTTACAATTTAATTTTCAAATATTTCTTTTAAGATTTGAATTTGTGGTAGTTAAAACCTAGGTAAATTGGTGAAACCGATAACTTTCTGCACATTCTTTTTAACGGCATACTGCCTAATACAAAATCATATTTGAAACCCTTACTGAGCTCGTTTCATTAAATCTATATGTATATACATACTCTGTTTCTATTTTTGAAAAACAGTGCGTTCGAAGATTCTTATAGTGTGTAGTTAAAGTTTATTTTTTTGATTGTAGCACTTTACCAAAGAAATGCTAATTCAATGTCAAAAGAAGTGAATGAAGTATAAATAAGAATTTTTACAAATTTAAAATTTTTCAAAAATAATGTAAATACCCTTTGAATGTTGGGTTAGAAAATAAAACTTTAAATTGAGAAATATAATTTAAGAATTAGTGCTTTTATAATATCGGACGCGAATTTATATAATATATCACAAAAACTTGTATTCCAACTGTTCGCTATATTAAAACTGGTTACAAAAACAGCAACAGATGAAACTGACTCGGAATTTATAAAATGTTAAAACGACTGTGGCTAAACCCCAAATATTTGATTTACTCGCACATACCTTCATAATACTTTAGAACTAAAGAATTTCAACTAGGATCGTAGGTAGAACAGTAAAGGTTTCCAAAGCAGCTCAGTGCTTCTTAAGGAATTTGAGAAGATATGCCTGATAATCTGTAGAACGTTTCCCGAAACAATTTTCAAGCCCTTAAAACTTCTTGTCTTACGCTGCAGTAGTCACCTTGGTAATTGGAGGTTACATTGGTTTAGGGTTTCAACAAATCGATTTTTTTATTATCTGATTAAATTTTAAACCACCTCTAAAATATTGTCCTAAATTTTCAAGTTGATCCGAGTAATAGTTTCGGAGATACAACTTTCAGAACTTGTGAGCTCGAGGCTAGCTGCGCTAAGTGCGTCGTTTTTCTCGATTGGTTAGATTTCTCGAAAACTGCTAAATCGATCTTCATGAAATTTTATTCAGGTCTTTGAGATACAATTTTCAAAGACGTGGACGAAAGATTTTTTACATAATTACTATTTGAGAAAAAATGTCACGAAATTGAAATTTTTTGTAAAAATGTCTGACAAAAAGCTCGTATTCTTCACTTAGGATGCTCCTGTAAAAGTTATCCTGCCAACGCGGGGTCACCGGAAATGGCGCCGCAATGGCCGAGCTTAAAATATATTTTTCCAAGAGTTTCAGAATTTCTTTTTAATAGTGTATGTTTGTAACAATAAAAAATTCTAATAAAATATTTAATTTTTTACATGAAAAATGATTTTTTTAAATATGCTGACTTTTACCCGAGTAAACACATATAGACCCTTAAAAATATCACACTGATAAATTTTATGAATTATAGTAGTGCAAAGTTTTTCATATTTACTTAGTTTTTGGGATCGACATAAACAAATTTTCCGGAGGAGGCAAGACAAGTTCATCAAAACGATTAAAATATTCGTTAAATGTTTTCTGGTTTGCGTGCATCGGCACACTAAAACTGGTATCACTAATGGTAATCCAGCTATAAGACGTAAAATTCATAGAATGTGATATTGTCTCTTCACTCTAAAAACTTCCTACAGCTCCCACATTACAACTTAATCTCGACCTGATCGAAATGTGTTAATTTTGTTCGCCAATTCGTTTGAAATTTGTCGAAGCGTTGAAAATGCTATTGGTTGCCTTTAGAGGACCAATATTTCTGCCGGTAGTACTTGTAGGTCAGCAAGCTTTCATAATATCTGCCTCATAAAAGAAACCATTTACTACACGCTTATTATACCTTACAAGCTTCTAACAGTGTTTATAGAAAATAATTTAAATTTTATTGATCTTTGTGTAATTTAATTAACAATACTTTTGTAATTGATAATTCAAATATTTTGTATACAAAAAATATTTAACAAAAAATTAAAACATGTTTCACAAATACTAATGAAATGTTGAAAAAATAAGTGTGCATATGTATGTATGTAATTATTACAAGCCATGTACCAAATTGTCACTTGTCAGTAGATACTCAGCAAACCAGTTTAGTTCTCCCGTGGTCCAGGCGGTGGTCTATTTGGGCATATCTGCGGCGCTTCCAACAGCAATGACGTTATGAGCTTTCACGCTATATGAAAGCGTCAAAAGTTCAAACGAGTCATGCTAGCGGTGTAATCTTCTCTGCAAATATTTCGTGTAAGCAATTGAGAGGTGTGAGTGTATGTAAAATGTATATGTGTGCATGTGTGTGAAAAGCAAAATTTCATTGCAACTTTTACCAACTGAAAACAGATCGAAGTAACCAGAAAACGAAAAACCATCATAAAATGAACGTAAGTGAAAGAAAAACAAATGAACTTTTAAATTTTGTGTAATTTTTTAAATTTAATAAATCTTTTAGCTTGCTTAGATAATAAAATTCGTAACTAGTTTTACTATTCGCTGATAAATACAATTTACTACTTGCTAACTATGGACTTAGAATTATTTACATGCAGTGAAAAATGCGGGTTTATACATACAATTTTAATGAACAATCAGTCTTTTTTAAAGAAAAGTGTTTTTATCTTTAAACTAAACAAGAAATAAATAATACAGAACAAAGTAATAATTTTTAAATGCATCTCTTCTTGCAATAATTTACAGTATAAATAAATAAAAATAAGTTTGTCTAAGTTTCAAGAAGTTACTAATGAATATTGTGAGATACGGACTCATTCGAAATGTCATTACGTTAATTAGTCTCTTTGTTTGAATCTAACACGTAGCGGCGGACAGCTCTTCTGTGGTGACTGTCTTACATCTGCCAGAGGCAGCATATATACAGGACATACATATTTACAAGGCGTAAACAGTCGATTAACCCGACAGCGGCTCATCGGAGGCTGCGCGTCTGCGGTTGCTTAATGCGATCACGCTATCGTCACTGCGCTGCACTGCTGCTCCTCACCCACACCCCGCTCGCGCCGCAACTCATTATAAAGCATGGCCGGACGGCGTGGCGTCGCTGCTGCTTCGATCGGCAACGCGCCCGTTGGTGTCATGTCGTCCAAGCGTATGGTAATCACTTCCTCCAGCGACGACGCCGACGCCGACGTCTTCGTCGCGGCGGTATTGACACCCAGCAATGGCGCGGTTACACTCATGCTGCCAGACGACAAATTGAGACCATGCAGTTCCGCAATATCATAACTGGCCGGCATGACCACTTCCAGCGACTCTTCGTCCTCCAACGCCACGGACGACACTTTGTATGTCTTCTGCTTCATTAGCTGCTCCTGCACTTGTTGCCCTTGTTGCAAGTTGCTCTGCCTCTTCAATGGGGCTGTGAGCATGCTGTTATCGTACACACCAGCAATGACCGGATGGTGATGCACAGCCGTAATCGTCGGATAGATGAACTTCATGCCGTAGGAGAAGTGCTGGTGCTGGTGCTGATGATGCAATGCCTCATCGTAGGTCGGCAGGCCGGTGGCAATGGTATAACATGGTGGCGACTCCATTTGCTGATAGTAGGCGGCGGAGGCAGCGTTAGCAGCTGTTACCGTATGTCTTCCGCGGGCGTCCATTAAACGGTCACAAACGACAAGATGACCATCGGCGTATGTGGCATTGCGTATGTTTTTATCTAAAGTGGGAGAAAAAAAGAGAAACAACAGGCTTGATTAATCACTATATTGAAGGTATGTTTTTAAAAGTAGTAGTCAGAGTTTTAAGCTGCCAGTAAATGCTAAATTGAGAAGTAGCTGTGCTTGACAGGAAAAATAATCAAAGTTGCCTACATGATATTGCAATCGATTGATGTGTGTATGTGTGAAGATATGTAATATTTTATAGCCGATCGCTTAAACCGTCCTAAACAGCTTAAGTCCATGGCAGCCACAAAATGCGCTGGCAAGCAATTTGAGCCACTGGCATAACTGTCAATCAAAGGTGCTTAATAATTATGACAGGGCGTCGCATGGGTTCCCAACACACAGACGCATGCATACATGTTTATCGCACAGTTGGTTTTCTCACAACACTTGAGCGTCCTTAAGCAGCAAATAAACTAGCAAAAACAAAAGAACAAGCAGACTGCTCGAAGAAGGACCAGACTCAATTGATAATCGATAAAAAAGTGAAAACATAGCAACTTAAGCACTTAATAATTTCCACAGCGAGACGAGCAGGGATGCAACGGCAACATATAGATGCAAAAAATGTTGCCACAACCATCTAGCATACAAAAACATCCATATTTCAGCTGTCAGAGCATGACAAGTGCGCACACATAATTGTTGCACAGCGCCACAGAAGAGAATGCGATGGAGAAAACGTGGAATGTGGAGCAGACAATACAAAAATGTGAACCAATTGCTGCGTCAAATACACACTGCATCATTTTTCTGCTTTTACAAACATTTCTTGATATTCTGACACTGCCAAATGCCTTCTACTGTCTGTCTGCCATTGATAGAAGACACTTGTTTGTGGCATTGAATACCGTAAATGGTTGCTCAATTCAATTATAATTGTTTTCACTTGCATGCTGAAGCTAGAATAACATGTGAATGGAATAAATATAGCTACACCTAAATACAGTAATTGGTCGCAAAGTGTTGCATTTGTAACCAGTTGTGATTTACCAAGAAAAAATGTAATTTGGCTCGCTAATATGTTGAAAAAAAAACAAATATTTTTTGAGCAACTGCTATGTTCTTGTAATTTTTTTTTAAACACAACCCTGTTTGTTAATATTTTAAATGAATTTCCGTTGAAAACAGTTAAAGCATTTGTTTAAGCATAGCCACCGAATTCAGAGGCAATTTTTAAAGATGTAATGAAGAAAGAGCACTAAAAATATATTACTAATTTCGAAAATGCTAAATTTGTTTCGGAATATGAATACTCTATAATCATGTTAGCAGAAACTAAAAATAGTAAAATAATTATTAACTTATATATTAGTATAAGCTCTCTTTCAAGAAGAAGATAACTAGAAACCAAGTAGTTACTAAACCAGTTACTTTGTAACCTATGCTTTAATATTACTGCTGGGTAGTGTCTATATGTTATTATTTATTAGAATGTGCTTTCTAAATCCATATGTGGATGCAATTCTCTTGAATATTTCTACAACTGTAAGCTTTCAATTGAAGTTTTGACCAACAAGTGTTGAGGCATTTTGCTGTCATATAGAATATTTTTACAATACTACTACACAGTTGGAAGCTGACGAGAAAGAGACATTGAAATAATAGAAATAGGAAAACGTGTTGACAGTTGAACGTCTTTAAGAGTTTACGAGTGGTTTGGAAGTGCTTTTAATGTGTCTTTGAAGTAATTACAGAAATGCAATATTTATTTCAAAAAAGAAATATAGAAAAAAAACTTTTTCCCAAACATGTTTACGAAAAAAAAAAAATAAAAAAATAAATAAAAAAAAATGTTGCCTTAAAATAATATTTTCTTTTATTTGGGTTGAAATTCGTAAAAGATTCGCTTATTTAACGCTTTTCAACATTTCTCATGCAACAAACAAAATTCAAGAATGTACACCCACGAACTCAATTAAACCAGCACAAGCCTTGTTGAGGAAGTAAAGGAGTAATGAAGCAGAAACCAATAGCAGATAGAGGAAAATATAAGTATTCGCAGATGATATGCTTTTTATAAAAAAAACGACAAGAACAATAAATCATGAGCACATACGTAAATGAACATCACAATAGCTATGGAAGCAGCGCAACAGACCATTAAATTTAAATGGCAGTTCGTTTCACGAAAGAAATGAACAAGGCGTGCTTTTAGGCGCAACAACGCTGCATTTATGTGCGTGTTTGGACATGCAATTTTAATGGAAATGAGCGGAAGAAATGCACAGCTGCAAGTCGAAAATCGCTGACGTTTAACCATTATTGCACCATACACATACACGCATACAATATTCGACGCACTCACGCACACACGTGAACCGCTGAATGCAAACTGAAGCAAAGAAAAAACTCGAAAACTTCCTTCGGAAAAAATCAAACACAAACCGTTTTCATTATGCACAAAAGCAAGTCAATTGAAATGAATTGCTGACGCTTTCAATAAATCTTTAAACTTCAATAACGTCGGGCAGCGGCCGTAGCAATGAATTATGCAACAGGTGTAATAAAACTAAGTGCATGCATTTATTGCTGAAGTGCAAACGTTTAATATTTTAATTGCGAAAGCGCATGTAAATCGATTGGCATTAGTGCGCTTTGGTGCGCCTGAATGTAGGCTGCAAATAACTGCAATCAACATTTTTCGCATTGCATATGGTTGTCGGTTGACACGTGCTTGTTGTTCTAAATATATATCTACATGTAGCTTATATACTTGGTGTTGTTGCGCAGCTTGCTGCTTCATTAAGCTAAAATGGCCAACGCAAGAGCGCAAACATGACTGCCGACCAGATGTGACTGCGCGCTTCAGCGCAAAACAAAAAAGAAATTCATGCAAAATTTATACGCGTTGTAAAATTTATGTGATTTTTCATATGTGTACTCACACACAGGCAAAAAAAGCCAACTACTCCTATAAAAAAGGCATATGCGCCCAAAAGTATGCTTCGCTTGTATGTGAGTGCAGGCAGGCACATATTTATTCATATTTTTTTTATATTTTATCAAACATTTCGATGTTTTGGCGTTGGGCGCTGTCACGAATACACAACATAATTTTTTTGACCACACGGCCGCTATTTGCGCGCCATAAAGTATGCAAACACGGTGGAATGTTGTGCGATTTTACAACTCGACGCCCACATTCATACAAATTTAATGGTATGAATACATGCAAAAAACATATGTGCCTGTTTGTGTGCATTTTTAATTTACGCGCGGCAATTAATCGTGAAATATCGCACAAGTGTTGCCTTTAGCGTTGCCAATTTTGCGTGTGCTGTTGATGATGATGAATTTTTATGTAAATAGAAATAATTATTTTATTGTCAATAAAAAAATATATATTTTCATTGCGCGCACGTTTTTTACTGTTTTATATAAAAACAACGGCTTGACTTTTCCATTAAATTTATGTGTTTTTATGTGTGTACTTATCCATTTGAGCTTGGACACGCATTTTAGGTCAGTTTTTCGAAGCTTTGTGGGATGTGCGTTTGTGTTTTTATATCAGTTTTTTTAATTTTTTTTGTTGGTTTTGTGGGACCTGGTCCAACACTACTCAGTAGTTTTAAATTTTTGCAGTTTTTTAGATCGCTCTAAGCTAAGTGCAAAAATATAGAGATTTGTTGAGTTAGCTTTGAAAGCTGAACGCAAGCTTTAAAGAAGCGAACACCCGGTGCCTCTTAAAATATAAATAACTAACTTGAATTGATGTTTAGTTAACTGGAAAAAGTCACAAACGATAGATTCATAAATATGTATCATGGATAATATGATACGAGACTCTTTGATTCGAGAGAGAGCTGTCAAAACTCGCATTTTTTATAACATTTGCCAAAGATGCCACTGCTGAAAAATATTAGATTGGGTATTTAATAAATTATACAAAACACTAAATTAAACACTTTGAAAATGCATACATATATAAATGCTAAAATGCAAATCATTAATTAATTTACATAAATATTTATTTTGCCAAAATATGTTCGCACAGTTCAATGAAATTTCATTTCACACTAATTTTGTCAGGTAATTAAAGCGGTTTACTTCTGGCATCCCGCCTTTTCTGAAATCAACTGTCAGAAGTTCCCTGATTTCCATCGCTGTCAAATAATCACGGAACGCGTTTGAGAGAAAAAGAGAGCCAATGCTAAAGTCTCGTATAATATTATCTATGTAAATATTATTATTATTATTATTAGATGTAAAATAGTATTACAATTATTATTTTACATTTTGATTGGAAAGAAGCACTAGCTACTGAGGCTTTCGGCTTTCTATGTAAATATTAAAGACGTGGCTCGAGTAATGTCCCGATAAAATATCTTTTTTTTTAATTAGTAAATATATGTATTTGCTTAATTCAAAACCAATGGAGTTGTTGTTGTATATTTTACTGCATTCAAGGACTATTTACATTATGTTTAATATTAACAAAACTCTTTTTATATACCAACATTCATACAAATAAATATATATACTAAAAGCACAAGTGTCTTCAGCAAAATAAAGGCATACAAACTAAATTAAAGCTTCTGAACTCCTCCAACTCCTTAAAAGCCGATTTATTGCGCAATCACAAAGTACATGGAAAGTATGCTAAATTCATTAATAATTAACTGCCGACTTCACTGTCAGTTGTACTATAATCTAAGTGCACGAACAACGCCTCGCGCTTAATTACTTCCCACAGCAACAAGTGTAAATTATTCAAAGCAGCCTTTGAGGCGTACAAGCCTCTGCGCACAATGAGCAACTTCTCAAACTGGCAAACACACTCAACAAGAATGGGACAGGCAATAAATATTAGCGGGAGTAGGTGGCAATGCTGTGTATTCCACACACACACACACACAAAACAAACACGTGACGCGTGCTTTGTTTGCGAATTGAAATTGTAACGCATCAAGTCGCTAATTGATTGCCAGCAAAGAGACAAACAAATTATTCATACACAAATACAACAAAGTTAAGAAACCTGCTAAGTGTATACGTATATATATGGATGTAGCTGCGCTATTCACCGTTGTTTAGTTCATGAAAGTGATAAGCTGCGAAATGTCAGAGTTGCCATGAATTCAAGCGTTTTCTTATTGTTTGTCCTGCGCGCTCTGACAGTTTAACAAATGCGGCTAATGCCAAAAGTTGCTCAAGTATTTATTGCACAAGGAAAACAAAGGCAATTGTGTGTGTGTGTGTTTGTTTATTTTCACTTCTAAGCCTCAACGAAAGCATATGAAAGTAGGAGAATGTAACATATTTTAAGGGGCAAAACAGTTCACATGCGTATGCGAAATAACAAACTCGAGATAGCTGACCCAAAAACCTAAACTTCGCTGTGGCAAGCAGGCACTAAATTATAAATGACGCTTGTCCAGCAGGTGCGCAACCGGGAGGGGGCGTACAGCTAACAGAAATTATCAGCAGCGCACAACCACAACTAATTCAACTAACTGTACTAATTAAGCTGTTAATGGCCAGGCGGCTAGATGTAGGCAACACATATTGGATATCGACCACATACTTACCTAACCCCCCCATATATTGGCAAATATTTGGGCACAGGCTTGGGTGGGTTCAAACTAGGCCACAAAGCAAACAATTAATATGATTGATATCTCTTTAACTGCTTTTCCATGGCAATTTCATTGACAGCAAGCGGTGCATCCGTCGGTTGGCTTACGTAAATGTACAATTTCCAGTGTGTGCTTTGAGGTAAAACTTTTTTAATACTCCTTAACGAAATTGACACTTTGACAGCTCCGCTCAACTTGTTCGGTGTCGGAGGCGCATAACAGTTGTGCGCTATTAGTAATAGGTCAATAAGTGATAATATGTGTTGCTTGCTTTTAGGCGCGAAAGTAAAAACACAAACTAATTGAGCAGAAAGTAGAAGAAGTAGCAATAAAGGTCGTAAAAAGTTATGCGTTGCGCCGCTGAGCAGGTGCCGAAGCAAGAAAAAGTAAATAAACTTAGACTGATAGCGTACTTTGAGGCGTAAGGTTAAATTACTTTGACAGTTTGCCGCTTTTACAAGGGATCTGCGTTAAATGATTTATAAGTTGCCTTAAATGTGAGGCGAACTTACTGCACAATGTGCTGAAAATAAGCAACAGATGCTAGGGAGAGAGAGTGCACTAAAAGGAAGACAAAATTTTAAAGTCTTTTTAACTGAACAACTTTGTTAAAAAATTTAAATTTTCAATATTGAAATTGTATAAATAATGCCAATAGTAATAATAAAAAATAATACAAAGAATTATTCTGCAAAAATGGTAGCAACTACTTAATTATTTAAAGAATTCTTCACAAACTATGTTTCAAACTTTTAAGGCCAACTTCTAAATCTCTTCAAGTTTTAAGGAAGAAAAATTATTTTTTTTGTTTTGTGCCACACAATTCGCCACTTTTATTTCGCCCTGCTCTGTTTACTTAATCCGCTACTTGCTTCATTTGGCAGATTATAAATGTGGTCCCGCCGTCACAGTTCACAAAAGGAATTTCGTTTTAAACTGGTGCAAATTTGTTGCTGCTTTTGTTATCACATCCGTATGCCGTGGAGAATAAAAGTGAGCTTCGTGAGCACAAAAGAGTTAAATTCCGTTTCTAACGGTAATGCATTATACTAAACAAAAAAAAAATCGACTCGATGGGAATTCGCTCAAGTGGGTCGCGATTTGTTACCGTTAAAAAGGGGCATGATTTATGATGTATAATTTTATTATAACCGTGACTTGCTAGAGGCTAGGTGGCGAGAAACACCGATAAAAAAGGCAATTGTATATCATGTCATCTTTAGGTCAAGGAGGTGGCATTTAGTGGTTTTATTTGAGATTTGCAATTTTATATAAAGTAATCATTTGGATTTAAACATTTGAAAAGTTTATGAAAATATTTGGAATAATAATATTATTATATTTATAAATAATATTGAGGCTCTGTTATTTTTCCCGCTGATATATCAACTGACTACTCGATTATCGCAACGAAAATGTAATATTGTTTTGAGATTAAAAAGGAAATTAGAGTTTCATGGCGCACTTGGAAGGAGTCCAAGGTAGAGTAATAAAAATAGAAATTTTTTTGCTATTTTATAAGAAATATAGCTTCAAAACTCACTCCACAGCTTTTTGACACATAAAAACACAACTGTTCTCCAAAAATCCCTACCAAAGTAGAAATATGACCAACTTCTTTCAAGCACATTTTTTAGTGTAACTAACTGTATACTTACTGCATTTCTTCCATTGCCGAAACTTGCGGTAAAAGTAGCAGGAGAACAAAATGAAAATCACAGAAAGCACCACCAATGCGGTGACCACGCCAATCCACAAATAATTGATGACGGCATGCATGTCGGCATCGCCGAAGAAGCCTTCCAAGAAGCTGCCACCCACACTGCCGACGCCGTTCTTCAGCTCGGCCAAATTCAGCACAGCACTCTTGGAGATCTGTTCGTTGGTGATGTGTTGGCCGGTCGCATCGACGCCAAAGGGTCGCAGCGCGTGGTGCTCCTCCTGCGGCACGCTGCTCCCCCTATGCGCGCTGGCGGAAGCAACAGTGTCGTAGGCCACATTGCCGATACGCTGAAGCAGGGTATTGAATGTGTGCAATTTATTGATGTGTTCGAGGTCGTGATGCGATGGTATCTCGAAAGTGATTTGGTTGTGCGACAACTGCTCGCCCGAGTGCAACAGCCGGTCCCCGACGCTGTCTGGCGTGACTGCCGCCAAATTAAGAAATGGCACGTCGGTGGTATCCACAGCAAATGTTGTCTCCGGTGCGTAGGTTGTGCTGTCATACATATACTCCATTGTTGTTGTGTCTTCCATTTTACAACTTTGAGTTATTCACTTTTTCGTTTAACAATTTTTATAAATTTTTTTCACCTCACACTTTTGTTGCAATCAATTCAAGACAATTCTATATTTTTTAATTAAATTTTTTGGATTCTTTAATCAATTCACAGCAGCTCACGTTTCAAATTTGCTTTGTTTATCATACTCGCGCTTCAAAACACGTCTTCACTCTTGGCCAAATTACTCGTCAACAACGCGTCTTATTTGCCACGTGTGCACGCGTTGCCCGTCCAAGTCGAACTGAACTCTGTGCCGCTGCTTGCAACAGAAGTCACTTGCCACCAGAAAAGTCACCAGCCAGCCGATTAGTAGGTAGCCATGGGACCGTCAGTGGCGCTCAGTAAACAGCATTAAGGGTATGTTGCCGTCGGACGAGTTGCTAAAGGGAAATTCCATTCTTAGTTTCTCTCTCGCACTCAGGCTCAGCCGCGCATTTCGCCCTTCACTCTTCAATTCAGTAGTGTTGCACTCAATGCCGCTTACCTGATCACAATTGGACTTAGCGCAGCCAGCAGTGGCAAACTAATTCTTGGAATACGCTGCTGCAACTTTAAACCATGCACACACTAACCCCCTTGAACCAACCAGACTTCTGTGTGAGTGTGTGTGTTTACGGTGCTGTTGAGTGGGTGTTAGTTTGCGAAAATAACTACATAATGGTCAGAAGAATTTATTGAAACGAGTGGCATAGTTTGTGTGCGAATGCGTAAGTAGTTCGCGTATGTATGTATGCGAGCGTATGCTCCGTAGTTGGCGTTGCACTATGCAGGATATGCTACTGACCCAATTTCAAAGCAACTGCGAACGAAGCATCGACGAAGCTCTATTCGTCGTGTTTTAGTGTTTTTGGGTGCTGAAGGATCACAAGTTAAAAATATGGTAATTACTATTTGGCTTCCATTGGCATGAGCATGACATTGCTTGTATGTGGCATGAGTAAATGAAAACGCAATTAAAAATGTAGAGAGAGTTTTGCATCGATTAAGGTGAGGTTGTGTTGAGTTTTTTATTTTATAAGAGCAAATGTAGTTATGTGATGAGCTAGGGTTGCTTTAGCACTTTGTGACTTTCAGAAATAAAATATTTTGCAACATAAGATCTTTAAATTTTGTAGTAATAAAGAAGAAAGCGACACGTTGCGCCTGGATATATAATTTTGTACATATCGCCAAGGCTACTTTATATTACGAAATAAATTATTTTCTTAAAATTTTGATTTTCTTAATATTTTGCAAAAGTGTAAAAGTTTATGAATTTAACCAAAAAACAGTTTAACTTAAGCCAGAAAGTTCACGTCATTCATTAACTTCTTATTAATAAATAAAACAGTATAGCTGGCCTTAGTTTTAAACTCGTAGTGAAGAATATAGCAAATTCTGTTACGTTCTTATTTTTTGCGAAATACGAATTTACATAACTCACTCCATTTGGATTGCAACGAAAATGCACAGATAACACAATTATTCCGTGAGCCTTATTATTGCTACTCAATGGTAAAATCTACTACATTTTCCGCCCTCACTCAAACTCGAATTCAATCAATATTAAGTGAGCTCAGAGAGTTATGTTTATGTTATGCTATGCTACAACTGAGTTTCTACTCATTCAAAAGGTATCCGGTGTGCAGTTTACAGCACTCAAATTTAATTCTAACTCAAGAGTACGGAGAAAATTTCCCTTTTTATGTGCTCTTTGGTTTTATTTTGTTGGGCATTTTGAGATGCAGTTGTACTCACGAATCAGGCACAAAGCAGTCCCTATCCAGTTTGCTAAGGGCAAAGGTGAACAATTGGATTTAGCGGCTGTTATTAAATTGTTAAAATACGTGAATTTGAAAGTTATTGAAATAACAATTTTCAGTTCCTAATTAGAGCTTTGAATATGAAAACGTTCCAAATTTAAGTACAATTTTGGAAAAATCTTTATTTAAAACAATCCATTGATTTAACTGGAAATTTTGTTGTTTTTCGTTTTGTCTGTTAATGGTTTTGAAATGAGGTAGTTAAGTCTCAGTGTTTATATGTATCGATGCACTTGCCTTTGCTCGTTATGTGCTTTTATGTGATTACATGTGCACACAGCTGTATATTCCAGACTTTTATATCGCAACACTTTGCTACTGAACGTCACTTATGTGCAACTTGCGCCACAACAGAGACGAAGCTAGGAGCTTAACAGCCGGCCGTCAGTTAGTCAATCAGCGACACTGTAAAACATGCTTTTTGGCATGTCAGCATGTCACCATATGACATAGTAACACAATAAAATAGCTTGACAGCTGACTGCAACAACAATAAGAACAATGGCAAAGCAGAGTATAGCAATAGCAATAGCCGCAGCAACAGCATGTCATGCAGCTACACCAAACCACGCTTAACCTAGCCGCCTGGTGACCGAACACTTCCAGCATTGTGTGAAAATATGAAAAGTAGTACTGACTTTCAGAATACTCCCATAGCACAGAAAATAAATATTTTATTATGAGCATTTTTACAAGCTTTATATATGTATGTATGTATACATGTACGTACATATGTATGTGTTTATATATACGAGTACATATATCTGTTTTGTAAGTTTACAAGTAGTTGCATGTATTCTTTGTTTTTTGTTGAAATCTTTAAGTTTTTGACAGAAATTTTCTCACCGAAAAGTGGCACATAACACACCAACATACAATTCTGTACTTGCATTTACTCCTATTTTTGTTAAAAACTACAAAGACAAAAATATACAAATACTTAATAAATACATTTCGGTGAAAACCCATATCTCAGGACCTACTTGACCCAAATTGACCAAATTTGCTACATACAATATCTTGACACTATGAATACGAGCGAAAGCGGACCACGCCTACTTCCCATAAGCCAATTGCCTGAGTAGTGTGCTTAAAGTAAGCTACTTTAATACCCCAAACAGTCATCAAATACCGAATATGTATGTATGTACATAAGAATTCCAATTGCGCACTTTTTATTGAAAATATCGATCAATCTGTGAATTATTAGAGAAATTCGTGGAGAATGGTTTAAATGGGATTAATAATTTCTTTATACCTAATTGAAATATTTTCTAACTTCCAGCGGACTATATACCGCATATATCGGCGAAAGTTGAAGTTATCGTAATACAATTTGGGAGTGTGTTTTGCTTGACAAAGAATGATTATATTTACAAAAAGAATAGTTACAGCAGTTATTTCTCCAAATTTAAAAAAAATTAGCGATTTTTTCAAGGAACCTTATGTGTTTTATTAAGCTTCATAGCTGTTTTTTACAAATCTTATTCCTTTAGTAAAATATTAAACTATTATATATGGGACCCGTTCTTATTGACAGTTTTTAAAACATTTATGACATTTTTTGCTCGTGCCACAAATCGGACAACGGATCTTATTCGTCATAAGGATGCCTGAAGAGTGGGCGAGCAAGCAGAGAGCCGCGCGCAAAGCTGACGAAAGCAAGAAATAAGCTTCAAAATTGTGTCCGCACATTTTTATACAAAATTGCAGACGCACCGCGTAGTGTACCTTGTCTAAAACCGAAGACGAAGCTGATAAATGTGAGAACGCAATCTTAAGTTCGTTTGTATGTTGGCCTTGTATTTTGCTTACTGAATTTACCATGGATGTGGTAGAATAATAAATAAAATATTCGCTATTAATAACTTATGAAGGTAGTTCCTTAATTCATCAGAATTTGTTAAATACCCGCTGTCAATATGTATATTCGAGGCCACATTTTTGTACACTAATTTCTCGTACTTTTAAGGACATGCTTTTATCTTATACGCTCAAAAGTTCGTTAACTCATTTTTTTTTTTAAACAAAATGACATTTCAACTAAATCCTTTGCGTTTAAAAGAAAATTCTACGAATAAACAACAGAACAAACCGCTCTATATGCTATTGCATATCACACGCTTAATTCAGTACTGAACATCGCATCCACTCTGTAGTACCTAAAATCGATCCGCGCTGACTGAAATCAGCTTCGCGCTCCGTTTGGCTTTGAGCGTTCACTCTGCAGGCACCTTTAGGGTCTGAGTCATTATCGAAGTCTATGCAGAGCATCGTTATTTTAAAATATATTACTATGTTTAAGCGTTATCATTGTCAAATTGCTTCATAGGGAAGCTCCAAGCAGCTTCGGCCATAACAGCCGGGTGTTCTAAGAATTAAGAGTTTGACTTCAAATTTCCTCAACAAATTGTTATTATTACATGTACTGTGCAGCGTTGACGCAACGCGCGTCATCTTTCAAGCAAAATGGGTCTATAACGGCTCCAATCAAGGATTTTAATGCAATATGAGAATATTATATCAGACTTTTTTTGTCTCTTTGTTTTTTTAGTTGTGGAGCTTCATCCTGATTGATCGTAATGAATGGCACCTGAATCCTTCTTGAGTGCTTCGTGCATAATTTTAGAAATTAACTGTTAAAGCAAAATCTGAAGTTTGAGAACTAATTTCATTAAATTGAAACTAATTGTTTCATGTCGATTTGATTTTAAGCTTAAATTAGGTGCTCTAATAAATTTACACACATACATACATATATAGTATATGTATATGTACATATGTATATGTATGTGAGAAATGCGAGTTGTCAAAGGCAAATTTTTCAGTTCACTTTAGAAACATACTAACTCGGTTTATTGAGACAATTGTCCGGCAATTGATATCTCACTTTCCCTGGCATGCTTCCCTAAACGGAATCTCTAACAGACAACACATGCCGACACACGTACTCATACTGCACACCATCATACAAACACACATACACACCCACACGTTTGCGCATTTCTTGGAGTCTTTTGTTTTGAAAATGCCATTGTACGATGAAAAAAGGACCAAATGTGCGGGCACTGAAAAACAAATACCCACATACCTTCGCAAACACAGCCGTGTCGTGCACACACATAGACGCACATATGCAGTTAGATAAGGAGCGTACAATGCACGCGTGAATGGAAAGACATTCTCTCTGTTTGTCTATTTTCTGTTTGTGGCATGTTGCGAAGCATTTGTGTTTTTGCTTTTGTTGCAGCGTTTTGTTTGTTTCAACGCAAATAAATACTTATACATACATACATATAGTACATGTGAAGGTGGCATGCTTTCGTTGAAATTCTGGAGTTCGAATAAATAAATAAATCAATTACACAACTACTGCATTTTTGTGTTGCTGTAAAATTTACCAAAAGTATTTAAAAATCAAATATTTGCATTGAGCATGTGCAAATGCGGGCAGATGGGTAACTCGAGTAGCTCGAATGCAGACAATCAAATCAAATCGAATTTGTTTCGGCAAATGGGTTA